GCACAAATTTCAGTGTTAGGAAAAGTATATCATGGGCTATAGTTAATTGAATTTATTTTTCAGTAATTAAACCAAAAATTAGTTCTATTGCCAGAAGGATATAATCTATTCAACATATGCAAAATAATGGTGAGTGGGCAACTGTTTTATAATTTCTGCCTTCTCCCATAAAAAGATTCAAGTAGTCTCCACTTAAGACTACCCAATTCACCCATTATGAGGTACAAAGAGAGTCAAATATTCCTCCAGCAGTTTCCCCCAGAAAATAACACTTGTTAATTTCCACTCTGAAAGTAAAAAGAGTAATATTATTTTGTCTAGAAAGGATGAGCTTGAGGATAATAAAGATATATCACATACATTGCCAAAAAGTATCTTACTGATGTTAGTCTTACTGTTAGTTCTTGTGAAAAGCCAGTTTATAGGTCAGTTTTCCAAAATTTCATATTTTGAGAGTATAAAGTATCCCTGTATTTAAAATATGTGGCATGTATTTTGTGGAGAAATAATGTATATAACCCAAGGCAGTGGAAAACTTGATTTTCATCAGTTATGATGCTGACTGCATTTTGTCTCCTTCAGCCATTGAGAGCCCAGATTCTAAAGCATTTTGCTTTGATGAGTCACATTTGTAATACAATCATTGTACCCATCTCCACCTAATGTACTGTAACACATTTTCCCCTGCAAGATCTGGCTACAGTCATTTCACAAGAGAAAGGGAAAAAAAGAACTGATTAAAAGGAAACAGGACAGACAGTGAGTAAGCCATGAACAACTGCCCAAAGAACTGTAAAATACCAGGCAGATCACTTCCATGTGTTTCAATTAAAGTTGCCACGAGAGGTGGAAAAAGAACTAGAGAGAAAATTGATAAAGTTGTATCCATTCCCTCTTTTTGTAAGTACAGTAAAAGCCAAAGAAGGAAAGGTACAATTAGTGGGGAACTTGCAAAGTTACAAATCAGGAAAACATTTGGGATTTATCTAATACAAATAGTCTAATTTACAATCCTGTCAGAGGGTATTATAAAAGGCACTTTATATGCATTTTTATTATATATAGAAAAAGACTAAGAAATGCAGACAATAGTTTTCTTTCAAAGGAAGGACAACAAATTACTTTTTTTCTCTTTCTTGCATGTTCATCATGTATCTGTTATTATGACTTGTAGTAAGAAAAAAAAAAAAGTATCAATGACAAAAAAGATAAAATCTATATATCAATTTGCATCAAATGTATCAAAATGGGATACCATTTGGTTTAACAAATTTTTCTGATATACTCAATTTTTCTGCAGAATCATTTCCTCTACTAATAGATGTTTTTAATTGAATGGTGTCCCACCAAAATTCATGTTGAAACCCTACCAGTACCTCAGAAAGTTTTATTTGGAATGGGGTGTCTGCAGATAGAATTAGAAAGATGATATCATTAGGACAGGTTCTAATCCAATATGACTGGTACCCTTATAGAAAGAGGATATTATCTGGCCACAAAAACACACATAGGGAATGCTGTGTGAAGATGAAGGCAGATATTTGGATGATGCTCCCACAAGCCAAGGAATGTCAAAGGTGGCAAGCAAAATAGTACAGCAAGGAGATAAGCATGGAACAGATCCTTTGTCATAGCCTTTTAAGGAACCAACACAGAAAACACCTGGAACTTGCACTTCTAACCTCCAGAACTGTAAAACAACCAATTTATGTTGCTTAAGCCACACAGATTATGGCATACTGTTAAAGCAGCCCTAAAAAGTTAACACAAAAAGGTTTCAAAGCAGAGGGGGTGGAGGAAAGCAAATAATGTTTAAAAAGTTAAAAAAAAGGAAAAAAAAAAAAGGTTCCAAAGCATACCACATGAAGATGTTACACTCTGAACACATACTTTTTCTTCTCCTCAACATCCCATTACTGCAGGCAAGTGAGACCATATTGACAATTTGTCCAAGGGAATGCAAGAAGTGACATATACCCATCCAGGTTGGTCCTTAAGAGTGTGACACACTCCCCATGCTCTTTTCCCCTTTCTCACCAGTGCACAACTAGACATGGTGGGGACCCAGCTTCAAACTCAGAGATGAAGTCCACACCTTAAGATACAGCAGCTCTGTGTCTTATGAGGAACCTGGGACTGTCTGAGAGTAGTGCACAATGCCACCCGCAAGTGCAACTCTCCATAGAACACTGCTGTTCTCTAAGCCACTATCTTATTGGGTATCTCAGAGTGCCAGAGGACGTAACACAGTTCAAACACATGCAGCAAAGCAGTATATAGAAAAGCAGGTAGACCTCAGAAAGAAACAATAACCATGATTCTGTGGGAGAAGTTAAGTGTAAACTAAACAACTACTATTATAGCTTCAAGATTGAGACAATATATTTGATGATCTTACACATTGCTAAACTACAATTTTGACCCATTTTGAAAACCTACCAATTCTTATTCTTAAAGATATTTTAAAATTTATTTCACCTGTCACTTTCAAAATTTTATTGAGAATAATTAAGTGAGTATAATCATATTGTTATGGCTTTACATATATTTTGATGGTATAAAAAAACAAAATCACCTATGAGTGTCACTCTCCTCCTCCAAGCCCCTCCCTAGTTAAAGTCAGTATGAGGCTTGGAGGAGTCCTTCCAGACTTAGATGTTTTTAAATAAGTGAGTCAAATTTTAAACTCAATTCAAGAAGTTTTAATTTTGGATTTCGGTCCATAACCCAGAGTCAAAACCAAAATCATTTCAGTAATAAGCCTTCATATTTGCATTATTCTGGGAGGAAAAAAAATGTATTTTTCCAAAGATGCCAATGACCAACAATGTGGCCCATTTCTTGAACTTAAATATTTCCCAAAATGTCATTAAGTAAAACTGGAAAATATGTGACTATAAGAAAGTTCCTGGAGGATAATTCAATATTTCTCCATTACTTCATTCCACTGTGGATGAAGTATAATATCTACTTCTCTCTGATCAAAACACACACAAAAAAATTATTCTTCTGGAATGTGTGGTATCTATTAAGTTACATGTTTCTTTATGAGGTGACTATCCAAATCTTATATGGACACTTGCACATCAGGAAGACACTTTAGTGTTGAACTAAAGAAGAAAATAAGATAAATCAACTCCCATTTGGCTATTCAGAGACCTGTGACCAAGAATACAATCTCAAGTTCCAACTCATGGTTTGTGGGATGCACACATGTTCCTGGATTCAAACATGTGTTTCCATTTAAACTGCTGGAATGTATATATGGCCCCACAAAGAGTGATAAATATTAGCAAATCTTCTAAGAATGAAGGTCCTTTGTGATCATATACACTGTTTTGATTCAGCTTTTAAAATGTGAGTCACACAAAACTCAAGAGTCTGCTTTTCACATCTACCTTCAAGTTAAAGAACAATGAAAAAAAAAAAATACATACCCCTGCATAAGCAGCATCTATATGCACCATAACAGCAAACCCAAGGAAATGCCGAGGAAGGGGCTTCAGGAAGAGTATGTATGTGCCAATCCCATAAGCCAAAAGCAGAGGTAGAAAGCTGTGGTTGGACACATTCTATTTAGCCAGCATTTTTTCGTGTTTTAAATTTAAATTCTTTGAGGAAAAAGCCCCTCGTATGCTGTGTGCTAGCCAAATGCTTGAGGTGTGAGTCGATGTGAATTCTTCCACCTCCTGAGCCTTCTTATATTGTTTCTTTGGAATATCTTTCCAAGTCACTCAGCCTACCTCTTCACTTGACTATTTTCTCTTCTAAACACCGGAAAGAGTCGTTCCTTTCTAAGTCCCAGTCAAGTACTTAACCCATTCCGACCCTAGACTCTCTGGATATTTGTGTCACTGTACCATCAGACACCCACGGGTTCCTGTTGGGTGTTGAGCCCCTGCCTACACCTTGCTGCTTTGGGCCTCTCCAGTGTGTGGCACACAGTGGGTAAATAAATATTTTCACAATGAAGAAAGGGAAATACAAATATCAGCTCTGAAAATGCTTGCTTTTAATACTCTTAGAAGAGAATGCAGTTGAATAATAAAGTTATTATTATTTAATAATAATAATAAAAGTATATCATAAAAGTATATCACTCAGAAGAGAATGAACAGACTTATGAAACCCTATCTGGTTGCACAAAGGTTTTTCAAAGGCTTGATGACCTTCTACAGCATTATTTGGTCTTGTCTATAGTTGCTGCTATATTCTCACTCTTCTCTTCCTCTATGACCTATATGTTTGATCCCACACAGATGCTTTTTGTATTCCAACAACAAGGACACAAACATAATATACCCACGTGAGCAAAAGAAGGAAAAATGTGAACTCAAGCCACTTTCTCTAAAAGGAAAGGCATCTTCCCATAGATAAGATACTTGTTTTAAAATACATCTGATTAGAATCCAAGAATTGCTCTTCATAGTTGCTCATATTCATTTTTCAATCAGTTCCACTTCTATTTCCCTTTGCTCTAATATGACTGGTCAGACTTCACTGAAAGTCAAAACTTTCAGACAACAGTCAGAGAGCCAATGAACGAAGTTACCAATCATGAGCAATTAGATCTAAAGATGATCTTTTGCCAATTACATGTTTGTGGTATCCCATCCATGATGGTGCTTACCAGAAATGAGGAAAATTTTGAGGGATTCCTCTTTACCACCCAGGCCAGGTTTGGGGATGTGTTTGGGGAAGGAGAAATAGTTGGTAGCCAAAAGAGAAGATAATTTGAAAAGCATTTTGCTGACTTCTGCATGAGAAATTCACCTGGCCGCCCTCATTACCTCCAAACAAAAATTTCAATAGATTTGCCCCAGGAAGAACTTCCTAGAATAGCTAAATCCCCAACATCATCCAGACCTCACTTCTCCCTGAGTAACACCAACTGTCTTATCAAACCTATTCCCCTTGAGCTTTTGGGGCTTCTAGAATAACTATTAAGACAAGTATATTTCTCATTATAGTCATCAAGACAGGAGTAAAAAGCAACTTACCTTTTGAAAAAAGTCTTCCCCACTTTTGCCTTTTCCTTCAGCAGCAGCTGTAAATAAAAATGTATACATTTAAAATAGTTTCATTTCCCCATCTATATATTCAACAACTCCCGACTATCAGGTATGAAAATACAAAAGTAAGCAAGACGCCAACCTCTCTCTCGCATAGCTCAGGGCCTGCTAAGGGGCCTCAATTGGGAGACAACATTGAAAAAAGAAAAAATATTAGCCCAACCAATTATATATTTTTAGATAATTTCATCTTTTTCTATGTAAAAGACTCACAAATCTCTACTTCTACAAATAAATGAAAGTATCTTGTCTTTACATAGTTAAGAGGCTATTTGAACAAGAACAAGTATCTACCAAAGTCACCAGCTGTAGCACTCTCAGAACTTCCTGTCTGTAACCAATCCCAGGCATGAGGTTGCCTTTTAACTGTTGGCCACCCCACCAGGCCTCCTCTGAGCTGTTTCAGTGACTATATTATCTACTTGGATTTCAGTTGCCATCATATACTACACTTTAATTCACTCTTTCATTCACATATACAAAAGAGAGGAAAAGCAACACAAAAATTAAACAGTAATGGTAAAGGTCACCGACAATAAAATCTCATGTGAGATTAAAAGGTCATTCATTGCATTTGAGCAACTGTTTGTATATCCAAGGGGTATCCTATAAATACAAATATAGGACAAACCCTATTCTGTAAGTTCAAAGGTCCAGGACTGAACATTTTTTATTTGTGCAGAGGGATGAGAGATTTGACCGAAAGGAGAGAGCGAAGACCATCTAGCTTGTAATAGCCTCAAATTGCATCTTTTAGAGAACAAAATCCCAAAGATTTTCAGCTTGAGGCATAGAGTGGAACAATGGTTAACTAGAGGAGCCACTGCCTGGCCAGCACAAAGAAATAACTGGAGAAGAACTCCTGGAAACTGAAGTCTGGAAGATCATAGTATCCCAGCACCTGCTGGCCAAATCTACAGAAAGGCACCACATATGAGCGAACATGTACACATTAGAGCATCCACCTGTTATAACTATTAAAGATGCAAGAATCATGGCAAATTATTCTGTTAGGTGGAGGATTCAGAAATCAAAGAAATCCCCTCTGCCTGCACAGAAATAACAAGTATTAAAACTGAAATTCTTTTTTCACCAAATTCATACTCCACGGTTAAATATAAGACATCTCCAGCTTTTTTACTTCCTCCTCAAAATAGAACAGAATATGTTTCTGTGATTTGCAAGGACATTCTGAGGAGATATATGGGAAAAGAGCTAAAAGGAAATAAAATTTAAATTATATTCTGATATATGGGTAGGCTAAACAATGCCCCCACCCAAGACATGTATGTCCTAATCCCTGTAACCCGTGAATATGTTACCTTAGATGGTGAGAGAGATTTTACAGGTTGACTAAATGAGCAATTGCAAAACAGGAAGATTACCCAGAATCATCCAGGTGAACCCAAGGAGCAGACGGTTCATTATCTAAGAAAACTAAGTGACAATGGTAGCAGCAGAGAAGGATACATGACAATGAGAGTGTCAGAAACAGGAAAGATTTAGAGATGCTGGGCCTCCCTGGTAGTACAGCGGGTTGAGCGCAACGCTGTGAAGATATCCGCAGCCTCTGCAGTGCAGGTTCGATTCCCAGTCGGCCAAGGATATTCCCACACGGCACGGCAGACCTCTCCTGTCTTGCCCACTGCTCCCCTCAGCAGTGTACTTCAGTCAATCTGCCTGTTCTGTTCCCACTCTGTCTCTGGTGAATCCTCTCACCCCTGCACCTCTGGCCTGTACCCCAGCTATTGTATAAATTAAAAAAATCTTTTTTAAAAAAAGAATACAATTAAAAATAAAAGTATACAATTCAAAGATTTAGAGATGCTACATTTGAAACAGACTTGGAAGCTGGTCATAAGTCAAAAGATATCAGTGGCCTCTAGAAGCTGGAAAAAGCAAGGAAATGGATTCTTCGCAGCAACATCAGGAGGAGTAAGGTCTTGCTAACACCTGATACCAGCCCAGGGAAACCCATTTCAGAATTTTGATGTCTAGAACTATAAATAATAAATTCATGTTTTTTTAAGCCACTATACTTGTGGTAATTATTACAGCGGCACAGTAAACTAACATATAATGTCAAGATATAAATTGCAGTTGACCCTACAAACTATGACTGACACTCTAACTTAAATATATATCAATATTAAGACTTTTACAAAAACAAAAAGCAAATCTGAACAAAAAAGCTTTTTTTTTTTCCAAAATAAATGGGGAAACAAGGTTGATACTAGTCAAAGGGGCCACCTGAGCCAGTTAAAATGATAGTCATCAAACCTAAAGACAAAAACCTAATAACAAGCGTCTTGGGGTCACATCAACTCAGCTGTATTTATCTTGGGCAGTCTTTATCTCTCAAGCTAAAAATAGTTTAAGGGTCCCTACTTGATGACACCATTGCTTGGCAATGAAAATTGCATACCAGAGCACAAAAAAAAAAAATTCTAGTGACATGGAAGAAACTCTTCATTGAAAGAAATTGAAAAGAAATTGAAAAGAAATTTTTTAAATCAAGGATATTTTCAAAGATCTATCTAATGAGTCAATTAATCACCCCTTTCACCAACAGGAAATCCCCCTCATAACTAGAATTCAACAGTATAAACCTTATGATACAATTACATTCCATTACAGATTTTTTTCTTTAGGACACTTATTTTGCTCATGACAAACTCATTATGTCACAAGCTTAAAATGCCCCCTCATTTACAAGTCCAGTTAAACAGACTTCACAGAGTGGCCTTTCAATCCCTGAATGAATAAAAAGGAGATAATTTCCTTATTAAGAAAACTATAATTAACTATGTTCCCAAAACATATCTCAGATTTAACCAGAAACCTGTACCTTTAGCAAGTTTTATGACCCAAGAGAAAAAAGGAGGCAGAGTCAGAAGTGGCATACACAAAAGTCCTTTGTCTTTTTCATTCTGAGTGTTCATGTTCAAGAAACTCCAAATCAGAATCTTATTTCACCATATCTGCGAATTATCCATTTCCCAAGCAGACAAGTGTCCTAGTAAAAGACTTGGGTAGGACTTGGAGTAGATCATTGTCTCAGGTGCAAATCATGGTTAGGCGCAGTCACTGGCACTTTCCAGGGAGTGTTCTTATCTCATTCCCAAGCTGCTGGGTCCCCAGTAAGACTTTTAATGACCCCACACAAAGCTGCCAAGGCCACAGAAGCCATTCTAGGGAGAGTGACATTTCACCAAAATATTCTCTCTTCCCAAAGGGAGATCCTTATGTGCTCACAATGGAGAGTTTAATTCTTAAACTTACTCTGAATGCCTCAAAATCAAAATGTAAACTCCTTTAAAGAAGTGGGAGATGGGGCGAGGGAATTTGAAGAATGTTTCTTTCTCAGTATAAACTTCAGCGTTTAAGATCTTCATGTTACAGAGTGGAGAACAAAAAGACGCTCGTTCTATTACCCCACAAATATTTAAGTCCTGTGCTGGAGAATCAAAATAGGTAAGGCCCTGTACTCAGTCAAGTACCCCTTTATACTTAGACAGACAGACAGACTGAGCAGACAGATGGATATACATATTCAAAGCCACACAACTAGTGAAAGAAAGTCAAAATAAAAAAATCAGTTCTAAGGACTTATAGTCACAACTCTATCCAAATTACACTTACTAGAAATTTTATTTACCTATTCTCATTCTGGTCAATGCACTAAAAAGTGAGACATTTTATTTTTCATCCAGTGCTTGGCTGGGCAGTCCTGTTCCCCCCTGAAGAACAGAGGGTCTCCTGGAAGACCACTTGAGAGTTGGATGCAGAGAAGCGAAATATGACATATGATAGGGCCTCCCCTGGTGGTGCAGCAATTCAGCACTGGGCTGCAAAGCTGCCCAGAGCCTCTGCAGCTCCGGTTTGATCCCTCGCTGCCAGCAAGCGTCCCACATGGCGCACAGACCTCTCCTGCCACGCCCGCTGCTCCCCTCAGCAGTGTATTTCCTCAGTCTGCCTGTTCTGTTCCCCACTCTGGTGAATTTTCTCACCCTCCCGCGCTTCTGACTGTACCCAGTGCTTGTATAAATAAATAATTCTTTAAAAAAATAAAAAACAACAGATGAAAACATCTCGACTTTAATGGTTTTCTTTTCATTCTATTTGGTGGGGGTAATGTTGCCTCTGAAAAGAGCAGACCCATACTCACTGTCATGGCCTATCCTGAATTAAAGTACGACTGTATCCTGTGGCATAACAGTTCTATTGAATCTTTGCGTTCTTCCATACTAAAAAGTCCTTGTCTTTTTTAGTACACAGTAACATGAACATATACAGAAAGTTTTAGCAGACTTTTTAAAACTGTCCTTACAAAATGACTTCTACCTGATGTCCCAAAATTTAATCATTTGATTGTAAAACTGAATTATTGCTGCCAATGAAAGCAATTGTCTTTATTTTTGTGACACAGAACTCCAGGAATAAATTACTTCAATACTACTGAAACATAGCTGGCTGGTTTTCCAGGTAAAGTATTTCAAATTTTAAGCTAAACAATTCATTTTTTATGTTTATTATATTTCTCCAATGCTTTGCCTTATTTTATTTCATATTTTTGCTTCACCAGACATATGGGATAGCAAAAGCCAAGGCCAATAAAAACAGCAAAAGTTGAAACAGGTGTAAACTATTATAGTCCACCAAACTACAGGGCAAGTCTAGTTAATTACTGAATTAAAGGAGAGAAAAGGCTTGATTTTAAATTCTTCATAGGGCATATGGAAACTTCTGTTTAAATATCCTTTTCATTCTGAAATGATTTTCCATTATAACATCTGATGCTTTATGGAGCCAAATCTAAAAACACATTTCATATTTAAAACATAGTATGGAATATCTTTAAACATTCCCCTAGTAAGCAATGAGTTTTTTCACTCAACATAGAATTTGAGCAAGGAAAAATCATGTTCAAGTTATGAAAAATAATTGAGGAATAATTCTTCAAATCTGTAAAGAT